CAAGGAGGAGTGAAGTCTTCCTCACATGAAGGGCAGTTTTTCCCCATGGAATTTTATGACTCTTAATATGTCACTCAGTGACACCCGACAAGCCATCTGATATCTTCGAGGCTGTGTTTTAGTTTGAAAAAATGGAAAACTTTAGGAGACAGGACAGTTTTTTTATCCTATAGTTCTCTGATGAGAAAACTGGAAACAGAAGCATCATTAATTTTTCTTGCAACAAGGACGTGTCAAATTTTATAACAGAAAGTTTGATTGTGATCTTACACAAAGCCATTTCTATTCGTTCAGAGCACAAAGAATTTTTGAAGAAATGTAGGCAGAACGTGGTGTTCAGACTCTCACCTGCAATCTGTCCACCTTCCGTCACTTTATTTAAACCATAGCTATACTCTTAATTAACAGTTTAATTGATTGGTGCTTTCTCAATCCAGTTCTCTGGAGGCATGGTTTTCTGTTTAACTTTCTTGTTTTAATTCTTCAGCAAAACCATAAAATTTAATTAGGAAAGTAACCGGCTTTGTAACAGCAGTTCTATGTCTAATTAGCTATGCTTTGCCCGTACCTTCTCAGATTCCATTCAGCTTTGCACATACATTTTGCATTTGTTCATGTTTCAGATAAGACGTTGTGAATTTATAGCCTAAGCATGTAGTCCAATCACTTTTCACTTTTCCAAAGATGCTTGGTTATAGCCAGTGAAATCAGAAAAATTAAAGCATTTATACATTCTATTAAACATAAGAGTCATCCAAGGCCAAGATGTAGGGTCGTTACCTTACCGTGTGTACTAGTTTTCTATTGCTGCAGAGCAAATTACCACTAACTCAGCAGCCATTTATCATCTCACAGTTCTGTACATCAGAAGTTTAGGCACAGCTGGCTGGACTTTCTTTTCAGGGTCTCACTGGGCTGAAATCAAGGTGCCACCTGGGCTGTGATTTCATCTGGCCCTCAGGGTCGTCTTCCAAGTGCATATAGTTGTGGCAGAATTCACTTGCTTGTGGTTGTAAGACTGACATCTCCATTTCCTTGCTGCCTATCAGCTGGGGATGGCTCTCACCTCCTAGAGGCCACTAGCATTTCTTATCATGTGGCTCCCATGAACAGTTCACCACAGAGCAGTTTGATTCTTCTTTGAGACCATCGGGAGCACATCTTTGAGTTCTTCATCTGTGAACAGCTGGAGAAAACTCTCTGCTTTTAAAGGGCTCACTTTTGATTAGCTCAGGCCCACCCCAGGTAATCTCCTTTCTGCCCCATAATATAATCTATCAAGGGAATGACTAGTCCATCATGTTCACAGGCTCTGCTCACACTCAGAGGAGAGATTATGCAGGGTGTGTACACCAGGGGACAGAAATCTTGGGGCCACGTTAGAATTCTGCCTGCCATACTGTGCTTTAGGAAAGAAGGCAACTAAAAGCTTCCTGGCAAACCTCTCTCCTTGCCCTTGGAGGCAATGAGCAGGGTGTGCCAGGAGCTGTTAACAATGGCCCCAATTTTGTCCCATCATCTCCACAGGGCAAAAGATGACAGACAGCCATATTCTTTCTTCTCTGCATGCTGCTTTCTCTGCCTGGCCAGAATAGCTGCTTTCAGTAGTGTGAGTGGATGAAATCATTTGAATTTAAAATGACATCAAGTTAACATGATGCTTTTAGATAGAAATTTATGTAAGCTCAATGCCTCAAACTTCAGCTCAATAAAATGATTTCTTTAGTGAAAGGAAATGAAGAAATGTGCAGAAAAGAGTTAAGTAGCAGGCCTGAAGCTGCTATCCTTAGAGAGGACTGCTTGCAGGACTGGCCCTTGGCTGGCCTCTGGGAACTTGGGTTTCAGAAGGGGTTCCCATCACCCTAACTGAGAAGAGTGGCTCCCTGTGCCTAAACTGTTTGTGCTGATGACATAGTTCATGCTGAACATCTGCTCTCCTGCTGGGAGTCTGGAATTTTGGTATGTGTCAGGCAGAGGGGGCCTAGATGACTAGGCCCCAATAAAGACCCTGGGCACTAAGTCTATAATGAACTTCCCCCGTGGACAATTTCACATGTGCTATCACAACTCATTGCTGGGTGAGTTAAGGACGTCCTGTGTGACTCCACTTCTTGGAAGCTTGTGCCTGGTTCCTCCTGGGCTTTACCCCATGTGTCTTTTCTCTTTGCTGATTTTGCTTTGTGTCCTTTTGCTATAATAAATCATAGCTGTGAGCAGGACTACAGGCTAAATAGGTTCCACAAATCACTGAACCTGGGGGTGGTGTTGATGACTCAAGGAATAAAGTAAATGAGAGCAGGAGAACGCTCATATTGAGTCAAGGCTCCACTGCCCAGCAAACTCGGCCTTAACCCTCTCCACTGTGAAGATGATCAGAGTCAAGAGACCAGAGGCAAGTAGCAGGCCTTGCCTGGGTTCTAGAGGGTGTGGCACTCTCTAGCCCTGTGTTCCAATTCCTCACTGGGACCTGGAGAAAGTTACTTAATCTCTGTCTGTCTCTCTCAGTTTCTTCATCTGTAAAATAGCAATAATAAAAGTCCCAGCAATAATAAAAGTCCCCACCTCATAGAGTTGTTAAAATGAGGCAATTTATAGAAAGCACTTAGCGCTGTGACCAGCACACAGTGACTAAGAGGGGCTGGAGGTAATTTTCTGCGGATGGAATCAATACAGCATTGTCAACATTCTAATACAGATCTTCCTTGACTTACGATGGAGTTACACCCTGATTAACCCATTGTAAGTTGAAAATATCATAAGTTGAAAATGCATTTAGTACTCCTAACCTACTGAACATCAGAGCTCAGCCTAGCCTCCCTTAAATGTGCTCAGAACACTTACATTAGCCTACAGTTGGACAAAATCATCCAACACAAAGCCTATTTTATAATGAAGTGTTGAATATCTCACATAATTTATTGAATACTGTACTGCAAGTGAAACCAGAATGGCTATATGGGTGCAGAATGGTTATAAGGGTTGCGGTTGTTCACCATCGTGATTGTGTGGCTGACTGCGAGCTGCGGCTCGCTGCCGCTGCCCAGCATCACCAGAGAGCATACCACTAGCCTGGGAAAAGATCAAAATGCAAAATTCTGAGCACAGTTTCTACTGAATGCATATTGCTTTCACACCATGGTAAAGTCAAGAGATTGTGAGCCAAACCATCACTAAGTTGGGGACCGTCTGTATTAACTCCCTTTTTTCCCTCTCACTCTGCTGCCTTCTTCCTCACCAGCCCCCTTTTCCTCCCTTTTCTGTTGTCTTCTAAGCTCCTTCACATCCAAACCATTTCCTCCCCCAGCTTATGAACTTTCTTAAGGACTAAATGAAAATAACATGGAGAAATGATTTTCTTTGTGTACAAAAAAGGGCACCATATAAACGTGTTGTCATCAGTGTCCACAGTCCTACTGTGCTAAACATCTTTTAGTTCCATCCACTATGATTTACCAGAGTTTATAAGTAACCCTCACAGTCCTCACTAATGTAATTTTCTTGCTTTTGATAATGGTAGGTGATCATCACATATACAACGAGGGAATCTTATTTCATAACTTTGTAAGGCATAGCATGTAAATAGATTCACAAATTGGGAAAAACTCCTTTCACAAATCATTTTTTCCAATATTTGGTTCATAATCTTTGTTCCCTGAAATAGTAGACTCCAAGGTGTAAAGTGGCATCAATGGAGACAGAAACTTCTACTTGAAACTTGCTTTGCTTCTTTGCAACTTTTGAGTCCCTGGTGGACTGTTCAGATAGTGTTCAGATACTGTTGCTGAAAAGGCTATAATGGGGTTGATGATCATACATGACTAGAAGACGTTAATGTCAGTATCCAGAAGCAGAGATTCCTTTGCGGAGGAGAGGAGGTTTAGGAAATGCCCGGTGAGCACAGTCTCTCTGCTGGTCATAACAATTTGAGGATGAGCTCCTGCATCCTCACCCCAGGCCCTTGTGATGACACCAAACTTAAACTAGACAGTGCATACACAGCGGCTAGGAATGAGGAGGAAGAAAGGAAATCAATAAACTAAGAGTTCAAAACTTCATTTGCAAATAGACTTAATATTTGAAGGGAAGATGTCAAAGAGAAAAATCAAACCAAAAATAAAAGACCAAAAGTTTGATAATTACAGATATCTCCAGAAGGCACTAAGTCTGTCCCTCCTCCCTCACCCCCCTAACACCTTCTCCAGGTAGGATTGTACTTCAGTCATTGAGGACACATGTTTTTCTAGCCCACGTTGAAGATTAATGAGGCCTCCTTTATAATCTGCTTTGCCATCCATTAAAATGAAGCTAAACCACTGCATATTTTATGGGCTTGCTTCTGTTCTTGGTAGGCATGAAAGAAAGCCCATCACCACACTCCTCATCACAACTCTTTAGCTAAAGCTAACACTCAATTATATGCAGTAATGGGGAGATGAGAAACTCTCTAACTCTAAAATCCATAAAATTCATCAAAGATTGAATAATCAGAGCCCTTTAACCTTTGCCAACAAAATTCTCTTATCAGACCCACTGAAACATAGCAAAATGAATTAACTTGAATTTCTAGCTTTTATTTTTTCTCAACTCACTTCTACTTGAAGTTTTAATTAGAAGGAAAATGTCTAGATGATCTGTAGGAAGATTTCAAGAAGGAAAAGTGAAGCTCTGGAAAATTATAAGCTAAATTCACTCATTCATTAAAAAAATCATTTACTGAGCTTCTAGGATATTCTAGACTCTCACTGAGAATATAGCAATGAACAAAAACAGATGAGCTCTCTTATGAAGCTTACAAGGGAGATGGAAAATAAATGAACTAGAAAATAGAAAATGGGTCAGATATATAATAATATTTTGAGTAACCTTAACTATCCATTAAAAGCTCTTTCAAGTTAGCATTTTCTGCCCTTGGCTAATTAATTCCAATTATTCGACTCCAGTCAGCAAAGCCCTGTAAACACATTATAAGGACAATGGTAAGTGAATGGACATTCTATTACCTTGAGTTGGTGGTATATTTTCTTCAGTGCATACGCTTCCTCTTCTGTAATGGGATAAAGTCTTATCACCTTATCACTATAAGAAAGGAAAAAAATGGTGATTTTACCTTTCAAAAATAAAGATTTAGCTATCTCTATCTTTTTACCTTTTAAAAAACTGCCTCCGCATTTAAGAAGAAAAATAGCAGAACTGTGGACTGGCTGGCACGTATTTTATCCAGTTCTTGTTCTGCTCTGATTGCATTGGTATTTTTTTCCCTATCTTAAAACTATTTGTTTTTTCAACAGCTTTTGAAGATTACAAACTCACATGTAAACAGAGAGACGCCAAAAACACAGGAATAGTGGCAACAGAGACAAGAACTTTCATGAATAGCTCAGAGCAGATACCAAGAAAGAAAATTCCTAATGACGGAAACAAACAATGCTGAAAAGAATGTGACTTTCAATGAGACGACACGTGAACTCCACACACTGTGGAACAGTTCTGGTTTGGATTCTTCCCACACGAAGAACAGTAAAGATAAGTCCATCTCTATGGGGCATCTTATTTCTCTACTACAGAGCTTCCCAACCGGCATGTGGGGCCAAATTGGAGGGCCATGAATTGTTTACAGGTGTGCCATGAGATACTGACAGCTGCAAAATTTTTAAAGTAATAAAGATTTAGGATCAGTTTTTACAGCTATTAAAATGTTACCACAGTTGAAATTATATTTGAACACTCCATAAGGGTCTTTCAGTAAAGATTCTGAATTGCCTGAGAAGACTCGAGGCATCAAACTATCCACCAGAGTTCTCTATGGCGGTTACCTCTTCCCCAAGGAGTGCCAAACAGGTATGATCATTTTCTAGTTATGTCGCGATGAGGACAGGTTGGGAAGCACAGCTCCAGTATATAATAATCACAATTGTTCTATATATCTTGCATAGAGTAGATACTTATTAAATATTTATTAATGCATTGGTGTAAAGGAGATCATTGAGAATAATTGGTTTCCAGAGGGGAATGTAAGGAAAAACTAAATAAAGTATAACAGGAATGAATGTTTTTCTTAACCCTCTATGGCATTTTACAATGACCGAGGATAAAGTAGAATATTATTAATACCATATATATAAAGCACAAAACAAAAACTCTAGCAGTTCACCTAAAACTTATCTGTCCAGCCTCAAAGAGGTACCGACATAAGGGTGGAATTTGCATGCTTTTCCATGGTTTTACTACTTCGATGAGGCAGTTTCCAAGGCTAGGTAAGATTCATATGGAGGGCTTTAGATCCCAAGGGGGACTTCCAGATTTGTTGGACAATGATTCTTTAGGGCTGTTGGTGTGTTCATTTCCAACCACTTAAGCTTTGTTAATGATCTTGTTATACCCTCTTTAGGACTATGAATTACATGGCCCTTGGCTTGCTGAGGGTAATTTAGTCTGCGTTAGACACTCCACCCTAACATGGCTTTGGAGCTTTAGTTTCCTCAAAATCACACAAAACCACCTCTCAGTATCAGCGTCATGAAGACCATTTTTCTGAAAAGAATAAAAGAAAGTAGAGGGAAGGAAAAACTCAAGTCACTGTAAAACAACTCCAAGTATGACCTTTCGAGTTTAAACATAATTACATCTTTTCTCTTTCTCATTTGTGATACACAGTTCTCTGACCTTTGTTTTTCCTGCATTCTTCATATCCCAGCCTCTCACACCTGACCCAATATAATGCTTGGCAGAGAAAAACAACTCCACTGGGTGATATGGTTGTTTGTGAGGGATGGATCACTTGACAGCTTGCTGAAAAATACCTCCATCTGGGGCCCTGTCAGCGCCTCAAGAGTGCTAAGAAAGCAATCTGTAGCCGTTTTACAGCCATAGGAAGATCTTGGGGTTTCTTTTTGTTTTTTAAATGATGGATAATTCAACCTGGCAATTGGTTCCTCTTCTGTGATTGTAGGAGAAAAGGGAACCACTCCTGGGATTATTTAACTCTGAAAGCGATTGCTCAAACCCAGCTTTGTCATTTTTATTACAAAATGTTCACTTCATCCCAGCTTGTGGAAATTCTGAGGTGTGACTTGAGAAATGTGTTTAATACTGTTTGATTACTTATCAAAGAACAGAGGATAAGGAAAGCTATTCAGGAAAACTCATGAAATGTCATGTTTCTGGTAAACTAATAAATTATATTGGTAGACTAACCAGTAACCCAAACCCAACAAGAACTCTTTATTTGGCATGTAAAACCAAATGCCCCCCAAGTGCACAATTTGTTTCACCACACAGAAAGCTTACTCTCCCTAGATCTGATGGCTAGTTTTTTTGGAGTGGTGAACAAGAATTTGTTACCACAAACAGGAAGGTTTCAGGAAGTGAAGTGGCTCCTAGAATTTAGAGAGAAAAACTAGCTGTGCACAACTATCAAAGAAGGTGAATGAGAGGTTTTCTTCAAATTTATCAGTTTTTCAACCAGTAGGTGGTAACATCAATTTAAGACTGCTTGGCTACCCTTTGGGATTAAAACAAGGGAATCGAATGTCTGAATATGGGTTGAGGTTAGAGAGATGACTGGGCAACCAGCTGCTCATATGTACGTGTGTTTTTAAGTCAGATATTTCTAACTTAGGAGACTATACAAAGTTGTGGGAGACAGACAGCTCAGGTATTTTTATTTACAGTTTAAGGATGTAGTATAGAGGCAGTGGGATATTCAACATAACTAATCCCCCAGTAATTATTAATATGTATTCACTCATGATACACTCACATTTTGTCCCCTTGCCTTACAGAACACATGAGGTTATGTCGTTATAGTGCCAGCATCAAGTTTAGTTGTAAGTTTGACTACTAATCCTTGTGGGCAGTGGCTGCCATATGAACGAGACAATATTAAATACATTTAATGAATTTTAAAGGTATTATTAAAGGTGTAATGAGAATGTACGTACCCAGAGAAGAGAATTTGGCAAGAGAACATCACCTCCAACTTTTTACAATCTGTCTGGGCTTCAGTTTCCTTGTTGAAGGAGTGAGAGATGAACTCCCAGTCGCCTTTCCATTTTAAAGTTCTAAAACTGTGTTATTTCAGTTTGACGCCTACCATATTTATTGCTGTGCCTTGACTGGGTGATATCTATGGAAGAATATTTCCATTTTGTGGGCAACTTGAGAGACCTCCCCAGTCTCCTTTTGAAAGATATAGATGTGAAGCTCCAGATTTTCCTTCTGGTTCCTGGCATGATCTTTCACAATTATTTCCATTATTAAATGCTAAATTTCTTTGTAAGTTACAGAAGCAGTTTATGAATCCATGCTTATAAAAATTATAATATTACAGGGGATATGATATAATAAAGTTCTCCTCCCAGTTCTCTTCCAACCCCAAATCTCCCATCTTCCCCTAGTAGCCATTGTTAATAATTTCTCATGATTCATTCCTGGTTCTCCTCTTTGCACTTGCACACGCACACACAAGTTTGTTTTATAGCATTTTATAATACGAATTTGCTTCTATTTTTCACTTAATATTTTAGTTTTAAAACACTAGTTTTTATTTTATTTTATCTTTTTTTGGTGAGGAAGATTAGCCCTGAGCTAACATCTACTGCCAATTTTCCTCTTCTTGCTGAGGAAGATTGGCCCTGAGCTAACATCTGTGCCCATCTTCCTCTATTTTATGTGGGATGCCTGCCACAGCATGGCTTGATGAGCAGTGTGTAGGTCTGCGCCTGGAATCCAAACCTGTGAACCCCAGGCCACTGAAGCAGAACACGCAAACTTAACCAATACACCACCAGGCCAGCCCCCAAACACTCTTTTTTAAATAAACATCTGGATGCTATATGCTAATATTTTATTTCAGAGTTTTATGCCTATATTCATAAGGGAGGCTTTTTAAAAAATAAACTTTTTATAAACTTAAAATAATGTTCATTTTGAATCACCCTTGATTTTGGCATCAGCAACATGCTAGCCTTATAGAATTAATTGGGAAATTTTCCATCTTTGTAATATGCTTTGACAGCTTGACACAGAAATTGTGTTTCTGATTGTTTTGTAGAATACATTCAAAATTTTTCAAGGTGTGACCAATTCTTCCTTTTTTTTGTCTTTGGGGGTTAGATATCTAGTTCTTTGATGGATATTGGTCTATTCAGTTTTCTTCTGGGCTCTTTGAGATAATTTTGCTAATTTACATATCCTGGAAAACCATCCACTTATTTATATAAATTATATTAATATAAACAATTAAAAATTAATTAAAATATCTTATAATTTAAGACATCTTTTCTTTCTCTGTATCTTTGTTCCCTTTCTATGTCCTAATGTTATTTGTATTTTTTTGAAAAAAATTCCTTAATCAGACTTTCCAAAGATTTGTTCATTTTATCGTTTTTTTAAAGAATCATTTTGTTTTTATTGATCGATTATGTTGATTTTTGTATTAATTTCTGCCTCTATCTTTATTAATTCTGTACTTCTTTCTTTAGATCTGCTTTGTTATTTACGTTTTAATATATGATATTCTTATTGATGTTCAGGTCTAATAGTTGATAATATCAAGTTTTTAAAATTCAATTTATTTAAACTAAAAACAAAAACACAATTCACCCACTTCTCTCATCTCCCACAACCACCAATCTGTTCTCTGTATCTATGAGCTTTGTTTTTTGTTTTTTTTAGATTTCACATAAAAGAGAGATCATACAGTCTACCTCTTTCTCTGTCTGACTTCCTTCACTTAGTGAGCATAATGCCTGCAAGGTCCATCCACATTGTCACAAATGGCAAGATTTTCTTTTTTATGGCTGAATAGCATTCCATCGTTCAGTCCTGTGCTGCATAATGACAGTTCAGCCAGTGAGGGACTGCACATGATGGTGGTCCCATAAGATTAGTACCATACAGCATGTGTCTGTAGTAGGTTATGTCATCCAGGTTTGTGTAAGTACTATGTTTGCACGATGAAATCACCTAATGTTGTATTTCTCAGAATGTATCCCCGTCCTTAAGCAAAACATGACTGTATACATATAGCACATTTTCTTTAGTTAGTCATCCATTGATTGACGCTTGTTGTTTCC